CTCGGAATAGTTACAGTGCATGGCGTTTTGATCCTCGCAGAAATCGGCAGAATCTTTCACAATATTTTTTGAGTACAATGCATCAGATACTGACAGGGAAATATTTCATAATGTATTGAAAAAGTATTCTACTTCGATTGAGACTTATTTGCCTCCGCAAAGAAGGTTATCTTTTCATCTGATTTTGTTGGTTGGTTGGTTGGTTGGTTTGTTTGTTTCTCTGTTAACAAGATAACTCAAAAAGTTCTGGACGGATTTGCATGAAATCTTATTTTCGGGGTGGTTTTTGGTACAAGTACAAATCGATTCGATTTTGGAAGTGATCTGGATCTGGGTCTGGATCCAGGATTTTTCACCATTGCGACTAGTATTTCTTTTGGGTGTACTGACAATATGACGGGGAATTGTTTAGCCTTGGCGGAGGTTTGCGCTCTCTGAGGGCTTTCTTGTTGATTTTTTTTTTTAAATATGATTATATTTGATTTTAGCCAAAATTTGGTTGCCGGAATGCCTGGGAGTGAAATCTGCATGCATATTTATTCCTATAAACTTACATAGATTTTTAGCATTAGGCCTATACATTCGTATATAATACACGGGAAATTGCCTTACACTATTCGCACGACAGGTGTTCAGGCGACATACAACTACGGTGAGTTATTAACTACGAGTGTTCGTACTTTTTACTGTAAATCAGGAGAAGCCTCGCCTGGCTACAACGGAATTCATATGCCGTGGAAATCACTTTAAAGTTTAAGCTGAATATCCATAGCTTAACCTGTCAACTAGAAATAAGTGAATGCAATGATGCTGCGTAATACTCGTGGTAACATAGGAATAATGTCAACAATTTCATTCACTTGGGAAAATAATCAACTTTAAAATCGCAAATAATCTTTTCTTTAAAAAAAATACTTTTGGGTGGGTTTTGTTTGTTTGTATTTTAAAAATGGTGTTGTAGAATTTTTCTCGGGAACCTAAATTTTAAGACTAATATAGAATAATTTCAAATAATGGTTTTTTTTGACGTGCTTTTGATATGGTGGCCCTGTGCACTTTTAAAAGAACCTGAAAACTGCCATTTGTTGAACCAGCCTAAATTAAACATTTTGATTTCTTTTTAACGTGAAGTACATGAACATGGTTCATGTATACCCTGTCGACTTTCACTTATAAACCGATTGATTCAATCAATATTGTCAAATGTATTTCAAATCACAAATGTAATGAAATTTGACAGGAACCAACTTTGTCTCCCATATTGTAACCAGACAATATCTGCAGGTGATTTCTGTCATTCCATCACAATTTGCCAACTCAGATTATTACCAGTGGGGACCCTGATTCGCTTTTATTTGATCCAATTTTCCCGAGAAACAAGTGATATCGTTTAAAAGTCTAGTTCTGGGTTCCACGTCGGGTCCCGTCTAGTAATATTTGCAGTCTGGTGGAGGCATGCCGTGCGAACTGGCAATCCTATAGATCATGCTGTGCATGTAAAGCTTTTGCCAAGCTTGACTTTATCCTTATTGCTGTATTTCATCAACATAATACTTGTGCCTTTTGTGGAAATATTTCTAAAGCAAGAGAAAATCATATAGCGCGTATACAGGGCGGTCCAAAAAATTACACTTTTTTTAGAGGCAGATTTCATATAATGTTTGGAGATATTCCTGAACTACAAGATCTTGGTCGTTCCGTATTCACTACCTTGGAGACGTGTGTACAATAGGGTACAAAAGATTGTAAAGGTCTCCGCAAAGCAATTTCTATAGGTGAATACGTCTCCACAAGGTTTCCACGAAATGTATAGATACATGGATTTTGTTCAAAAACTAGGAACTTCCAAGGTGTGTTTATCCGTCGCAAATTAAAGTATTTATGTAAGGGATAATGGTCCGAATTTCAGCCCAGGAAATTAATTCTGGTTAAAATAGGAGCATTTTGAATCTATATTTTCACACTCTAAACTTTTAGTACACGAGAACAAATTAGACTCTCCACAAGGCTACAAATTCCAGTATGTGCGTATATGGAAGAATGGTCAAAAACAAGTTTGTCCACGTCTATGGCAGACATGTATAGACCTAATTACGATAATTATCGCAGTTATTTGTGTGCCCAGTACTATTGTGTTGACCGTAATAATTTCATAGACTTGCGTGTGGATAAACTGGTGTTTTTGACCAACTGTCTTTAAACCATCGCCATTTCTTAATTTAGGCTTTATTTTCAGCGCCGTTTTTACCATATACCACGAAGATGCTGTAGTTTAGGAATGTCTTGAAATAAATTTAACATGTCTCCCCAATTCCAAGAAATATGCGTCTGAAAAAGCGTACAAGGTTTTTGGTGGACCACCCTGGCCTGTATGTGCACATTTAATATGTTAGATATGTGAACAGATAAGAACGATCAATTATTGAATACAAAAAAATAATATCAAAAGAGCAGAAAACCATCCCAAGTATCCAAACAATATTAAATAGTTGGAAACCAAATATTAAAAAACTATTATGCCTTACCAAATATCTAAAAATCAGGGTTCTAAAAGTGAAGAAAACTGGTATAAATTCACATCCACATAATTCTCGTTCACTGTACACGTACATGTAATCGCACATGTACACATCCTCTGGCGTTTCACTTAATCTCACCGTTTTGCTATCACAACCGAACTACTGTTTGAAAGCGAACTTGACCTCCAGCGCACTGCCCGCATTGTCACAGCGCACAGAACGAACAATAAATTTACCAAATCGCATTATCTATACACCATGAATGTCCTTGTGTTTTTCTTTTGTCTGTGGTTAATGCCTCTATTTTTAATGGACACCCTCGAGGCAAGGAAAATGCCAGGTCAATGGTTTATTACCGTGAGTACTTTTTTATGGAGTTAACAGAGAGTTGTCGACGAATTGCAAAAAACACATCTGCAGAAACACTTCACTTTGCTTGCGTATTTTGTCTGCACATTTTATTCACTTTGTATTTTTGACTCGTTTTTCAAATTGATGTGCAGCTTTAGAATTACATGTAGACTGCAGAATAACATGATACACAGTTTGATAACATCCTTGTTTTAAGTATTGCAGCTATTTTAGAGTGTACATGATCAGATCAGGGGAGTGTGGCCTAGTTAGGGTTAGCGACTCATGAAAAAGTCATGATCAGAGGGTAAAGAGTTCGAATCCAGCTGCTGGTCATATGTTGTGTCCTTGGGCAAGCCGCTTCACCCCCACTTGCCTCTCTCCACCCAGGAGTAAAATGTGTTCCGGCATTACTACTGAAACCGGAGATAAACGCCGGCCTGATGGGCCACATTGGCTTGTGACAGACTTTACTTAAAATAAGATAATTTTGTTCACGACATGATTCGCGATTTACGATATTGGTGCCATTTCTAGCTCCATGGTAGAGCAAGGCTCTATGTTAAATCTTAGCATAATTGACTAACCATAGCCTTCTGTATGTCCATGTCAGTCTTTATTGCTTTCAGCAAAGAATTAAGGCAACATAATTGAGTTTTAAGCGACACCTCATTTCAATCACCAGTAGTGACGCTGATTTTTTCCCCCTAGGAATTCTCCATGACTCCAGTGCAAGCTCTCTCCCCGCTCCACCTTATCCCACAGCATTAAAGTCGAGAACCTCAAGCACGCTACGGGGGAAGGTGTTAACCTTCCAATTAAACCCATCCACTTCTCAAATTGGGCAATAAAGTTCCCACACGCCCACAGGCAATATTGATTTATTATTTGGGGCTAAAAACCTGCAGAGATGGAGATGGAGGTCTGGTCCCACTTAATCCTGTCCTATTTTCTGGGATTAAAGGTGTGGTCTGATACTCTTATAGAAAACGTCAGTGTAGAGTGTCACGGTAACTGTAAAATTCCAGCACGATTAAACTTAATTGCTAAGTGATTATATAGGATGAAGTGTGAGCACGCCTGTATATTTAACACATGTCACTTTTGTGATACGTTGCTGCTGGGTTGCTTGTTAAAATGAACGGTGTAGCGTCCAACCATAGATCCAACAAAAACTCCAAGCGACAGTTCTTATTAACTTTCGATAAAAGCAAGGGCACATAAATGTACAAAATATTGTTGCAGCTGTCAAACTCAAACGGTTTGTTCAGAAGATATACCTCCATTATATATCTTCATATATAACTTGCAATAAAGCTTAAGAAACGATGCACCATTTCAGAACCTATATGTTGTATACAGGGCAACTTTGGTAAGCCTTTGGTGCAAAATGAACTCGATCTCAGTTTGGAAATTCAAACACGTCTATTTCCCGTCCATTTACCCGACAGGTCCGGTCCATAAAGTGCATTTACAGAAAGGTTGTTTAGAAGCGTTTCTCAGTTTGTGATGCTTTATACCGTGGGTGGCCTCATCTTGAAACCAGGTGTAAACCCGTGCAATTACAAACCATCTGGACGACTATCATGACGAGAAAATGGAAGCCCTTAGGGACAACTCATGACAGTAATATTATTGCCTATACTCCCTGAACAATAATTGCAAGGCGCATATCATCGCCATCGTACGCAATCAACCCATTTGTCAAGAGGCGGGAATAGACTCATATTTCAAGCGTGCCAGTGTAAATATACAGACAAGGAGCAGATTTTTTTATCAGCGGTAGAGTCCTTGGGAGGGTAAATATTTAGGATTTGATGTGGGTTTGAGTCTGTTTCTATTAGTGCTGTGTATAGAAAGAATTCCATTACAATTTGTGTGCATGGCGAGTGTAAATATACATTTGGAGGAATTCGAGGGAATGTAGTCAGTTTATGTAGCATAGGTTTATGGTTTAATGGCCCAGTTACAGTGCATCCAATGTTACTGCATGGGTTTAATGGACTTTTGTTATCTTATGAATCCATTTTCCATGTTATCTCTTTTAAATACAAAAAAATATGTGGTATACGTAAGTTATGAACTTTGAATACACTTTATTAACATTTTCTAAATGTGCTTCAATTTCAGTATGACGGACTTTTTCATTCATGCCGGATTGGACCCGCCATTGAAAACGCCACGATTAAGGCCTTTCTGGGCTCATCATTTCGAAGAAATCAAAAGCCATGACAAGGTAGGCCTAACTCCTCTCAAATTTCGTTAGTATATCCACAGCTGTGATGATGGTTAATTGTTTCTTTAAGGATGCAGACTTGATAGACCCAACGGTAATTACGCTTACACTACTCACAATCACATGTATCCATGTTGTTTGAGACACCCATCAAAATCATGCTTATTTCATCATCTTTCATTTTCTGTTCATTTTTGGTATGGGGTTAACTGATGATTTTTAGGAGAAAATTCCATCCAAAAGATGATCACCCATCGCCATTTTGAAAATGGACGCCTACTCTCCATTGTAATAAAGAGCCATTTTAGGGCCTAATTTCATCCATATTCCACAGAAATACGAGCTCGCAGTCCTCTGTACGGCTTGCATCCTTCTTTTTTTCCCATAAATCATCAAGTTCACGGCCTTCAAAATACTCTAATTCCTGAGAATTTGAGGGCATGCAAATTGTGATTTGGCTCGCGTTGGCAATTCTGGGCCTATGTACAAAATGATCTGAACGCTTAAGCTCTCGTTAGATTAAATTTTGTTTAACCTTTGACCTGGGGTTAACATTTTACGGTACGCACGGAATGTAGTGTGCATTGATCATGGCGAAAGGCTTCCCACAATGCTTTGCGTTTCCTTCACAATGCCTAATTGTGAAAGAACAACCTCAGCGCCCTTGGATAGGACGGAGGAATCCGGGTGGATATACGCGCGAATTCTCACACACGCAATCTATCATGTAATATACCCACGAAAGTGCAAGTTCATTCATGAACAAAGCCCCAGCATTAACCACAAAATGTGCCCTCTTCATAAATCTCACTGCTCGCCAACTGTCCCAGAGTAACACAGAAATGATTATGATATCTGAACTCTGCGTGTGATGTTTATGTAGAAGGACCATAATCTCCGTCTATATGTTGTTACATGCCATTGCGTGCGAAGGGGGTTGCCACCGTGCCATCAGTGCCAAGACCCTGGGTCTAGCCCGGGCAAGCCCCAGCCAAGTCACAGGTGTTTGATACCAATTTGGAAAAGACGCACCAAGTGATACCTTCTGTTGTCTTGGATCACGCACTGGTTTGATATTCGTATCAAGCATGGTCGAAGTGGCAGTTAATCCAATCGACCGTTATCGATCAGATAAACACTTTCTGGCACCAATCGATTATTGTATTATTGTATTACAACTGTCAGTGTTCTACCCCGTGTCTGTAGCGTTTTGTTTGTAAAAATTAAAATATAGATCATGGATTTTAAATGAACATCCGGTATGTCGTCATGATACCTTTATGCTTCACACTGGACTATTAAAGAATATCGTCATGCATGAAGTTGTGTGAACACGATGAGAGAAACTAAAAACAAATCATTTAGCCCGAATAATCTTTTAGCTCCACATGGGTGTACTTTCCCCAAATGTGTCACAGTTATAGGGAGGAAAAAGGCATGTATATTTTTTTTTATCGTGAACCACTTTTTCGTTTTGGGTAATGATTTCAGGCACATATATTAACATAAGGAATTTGTGACCTACTATATCTGCAACCATATACCGTTATTTCATCTACAATGCAATTCTGAGAAGTTGAGAGCATAATGGTAACCAAGCAGTTAATGAACATGATGAAACAGCTAATTCGTACACATAATTATGACTAAAGTTAAGGCATCCTGGTCAATATCATGTCTGACAAGGGATGGACTCACCAGTGAGCAAGGATGCATCCGATGGAATCAAAGTCGTCCGCTTCACCGGCGGGACCGAGACCCGATCTCCCAGCACCGGCGGCTGCCGGTGACATCCAGCGGGGCACGCCGTACATGACTCGGTCGAGTTTGCTGCGGAATCTGGGTCCTGGTGGGGCATCGTCTCTCTTCCACTAAGTTTTAGAAGCGTAGGCCGCTTACCGTCGCCTGAAGTTTACACGTCGCCAAAACCAGCAAATAAGACAAGATAATGAGGCTTCAATGGTTGTTGGAGGGCATACAAAGATCTGAGTTTTTCCGATACTGGTGAAGTCCACTGTAGTTTTGGTGATAGTTTTAGCGATCTCCACATTTCCTGCAGATCAGTAGTGCCGAATATACGTCATCCGCTTGTCGGTTCTAATGATACAGTCTTATATGGTCAGCTTTCATCACTTGGACACAGTTGAGGTGGATTGCAGTTGCAGATTCGTTTTTAAAGAGTTTCAGGAATACTGAGACACGCGCCTATAATCAATCAAAATTCAGCTGTGTGCAGATTCAGGTGAAAACGTGTCTTTGCCGGCTTCACCTGAGCTCCTTTATAACCGGAGGTAGACGTGCCTGCTAGTGCGTGCGTGTACTGTTGGGATCTTGCGTGTGGATATGTCATAACATTATGTTCGACACTGCTGGGTGGTGGTTATTCATTATCGTATGATGACGTCAGGCGTATGCTCACGTGCAGGTGTTTTGCGCGTAGCTGTGGAACACATGTAGCCCAACTATACTTACAGTATTTGGTTGATGAATTTCCTGGATATTGAGTCTGACACCTCATTAAAATCTCTGCACTGTATAACTATAGGTGGTATAGACAAAAACATGAAGTTTTTACTTGTCAATTTCTTCATTCATTGTTGAGGCGACATCACACTGTGCATGAGCGTACAGAGAGAGAAACTTTGAAATGTCAATTGTCATCGACAGGTAACAGCAAAGTCCTGTACCTCCGCCAGCAATGCAATATTTACATGACTTGTATAGAAAATGAGCAGTAGTACCTTTGCCTGGCGTGCCGCATTGATGCCATTATTCCTCGGCCGTATGATTTATGGGCATTTCATGATTGTATTCATCATATTGTCAAAGGGAAACTACACAAAAAGGGCATCCGCTTCGCCTTTTTGGTCGAATTCAAAGGTCGATGAACATAAAGGTGGGAGATTTACTCAACTCAACGCGTGGTAATTGCGATTCTTTCTTTTCTTCGCTCGGCAAATAATGTGTCCAGGGCCGTAAAAATGTTCTCCCTGAGAGCCTCCGACAGCCTCGTTGCTTTATGTGTTGATGACAGTAATTGCGTCAATTTGGGATGCTTGAAGGAGGGAGGTTGTTGCAGGCATGCATCCTGATCCACATATTGCTCAACGGTGGCCGTATCACAGAAACTCAACAGTTGCACTTTATTGCCTACACGAATTCCTCTACTAACTGATTTTTTTTTTGCGTCAGCCGAAAGAGGTTGCAACCGCACCGTCAGACAGTCTGTTCACAGAGTCACGGTCAGAGTTTTCGTTGCCTGCCCGCGGTCATCAGCGACACTCCGGTCAGTTCAGGCCACGGTCATTCCCTTGCCAACAGGGTTCAGGTGCTCCAGGCACGAATTCAGTAAACTATCCGAAGTATCCCCTCGCATCACGTATACCTGCAGTCCACGGGAACATTGAGTGTCTCTCACGGTTCCGGGAGACCGTGGCGTACCCGCTCAAGCCAACCCGGACTTCACACCCAGAACCCTCGATCACCTTTTAATTTCCTCGCTGCGATCAGAGTCCGGAATTTTGTACACACGGCGTACTAGTGGTTAGGCACAATTAAGTACTCATGTCCTGTCACCCGTACCATTTGCGTTCGCCTTGACAAAAGAGCAAAATGGATAAATAACTGTATTCAAACTATAGTACGGCGGGTGAGAAAAGGCCAAGTTTAACAACCAAAGCGCACACCAAAACCTCTGGGACACGGCAGTTCTCTTTTATTCGATGTGTTGTCCTTCGATGCTAATGGCACCGCGCCTGTGCTTGATAACACTAATCATCAATGGGCCACCAAACAGCGTAACTCTCTTCTCCCTGCCGTCAGTAACTCAACCGGAAAATGAAATCCCCGATCGTTCTCGCGCAGAAGGGAACCTTCATATTTTCTTTCAGTCCAATCGGTACTTCAATACCCCCTCTTTCTAACGGTACCGAACAACTCCTTTATTGGGTATTGACAGCCCCATTGGGGTCTCTAATCGGATTACAAACCGTTAAGTACACGCACGAAGGCAAAAAATAAGATGTCACATCCCAATCCCCTCCGCACACGCTGCTCACTTGATAACGGGGATTAGGGGTATTATCAAGAAGCAATAATGAAGTTCCCCCAGGAAGGATTATCCTTACAGATCAAGACGTGATAAAGTGATCGTCACACATCCTTGACGTCATTGTCTCTTCATCGATAAAACGAGAAGTGCGCGAAAGAGGGCGCATACTTAAGACTTGTTCTCGTACCGAGAGAAGGCTTTGCACCTTTTCACCGCAAGAGGGCGTCAAGCACTTGACCTTATCGCCAAATTCAGTCTCAAACTCACCCTTGTTTTAACAATTACTTCTTAAACAATATTATTACTTCTTAAACGTAGCACATTTGTTCCTTATGTGTGCATGATGTGACACTATTCAAAAGTAGGTAAATGTTATTAATTTTAAGCTTAATTCAGGTATCACGATAATAATAGAAAAATGCAATGACCGGGTAAGGAGTTTTTTCGATACAATTTACCGACTCACCTTGAACTGATGACCGTGAAGATGCGTTCCCGCCTGGGGAAACTCGAGGGCGTGTACGCAAGAGACCCTTCACTCGACACACTCTCCGTACACGAACATTTCTGCCTCATTTTGTTGCAGTGTAACTGCCTCCTCACGTATATGGTGTTCCTGAAACCATAATAAAGTCCCAAAACTCATTCGATGTTCAACAAAATATTCAAATGAATATTGACTTTTGAGGTAGTAATTCGGAACAATTGTGGTTTACTGTACGCTTTAGTATATGTTTTGTTTTGAGGGGAAGTATTTATTTCATTTTCATTTTTTAAGATGCATTTTCATTTTAAAAAAAATGCATATTTTGCTCCTTAAAAAACTATTTTCTCAATGTTTGTGTATAAACAGTGGCCGTCCCAAGCCGGGGGGGGGGGGGAGTTTTGGTATTTTTTTAAGACGGTTCAGACGTCGATACAGTAAAAGTCTTTATATTTTTCGTGGTATAAAAAGCTGGAGTAGAGTACTCTATAAAAGTTTGGAAATTGGGTGGTTGTTCTACTTTTTTCGTCACAAGATTATTACGCCTGACTTCGAACTTCACACCCGAAATTAATCTCAAGGAGTTTCCGACTTCACCTTTTGAACCAAGTGTTCGAGTTCACACTATAGGTCAGTATCACTGTTTGCATTGATATTACAGCCCAACCTCAACCTTGTCGAACAAATATGATCAATCCTTTTCGATTATTAATTTTACAAAACCTTCGGCAAACCTTAAATTATTCCTTTTACAAAGGTTTATGCAAATCCTTGATAAAATATATCAATACTGGAAGTCAAGGTTGTCATTTTGCTGACTGCATTTCAAGTTTCCATCCAGAGACCGCGAAATTGTATTGAACAGGGTGATAGTAATTACTGAGAATTCATGGCCGAACCGCGCTAGATATGACAGCCAAATTGCTTGCTGTCAATATCACTACGCCTGTGGCGCCCTCTGTTCTTCGGGGCGTGGATTTGTATTGTCAGCGGTACGCTTTATTAGCTGAAAGCCTTGACCGAGCCGTCAGGTCTTACGGATGATCCTACAAATATACGGTCTGAGCCTTGGGGAGAAGTGGAGCCTTCACGCACGGTGTTAATGAACGCGTACACCTTTTGTCTTCAGGCGATGCTGGCAATCACTTTTTCCGGAACCCCGACCTTAAAGTCCAGGCGGGTGTGTTGTTTGAAATTGGATCTATACCCGCAAGTGTTAAAGGAAAACATAATTAATTGACGTTGGTATGAGTAGTCTCTGAAGTGTCCAAGGCATTTATCATTCTTTTATGACTTTGGTCGAATTCAACCATCTGTCACATGAACGCTCCAGATAAAATGAATTCATTAATTAACAAAGACTTTCCTTCAGTCACGAGGTTTCATCAGAGTGCGATCCGCGAATCTATGTGTGCAGTTTGTGAATCTGTTCTTGTAGTCGGTTTTATTATTTATTTTCCATGAAACTTTTGAACGCCAAATTGTTTCATGTGCGTTTACCCTGATTTAAGCATAGAGAAAGGACACATTGCTTGATGAAACGAAGAAAAACCACAAAAGCATTTCAAAACTGATCTCTCGATGTAGATCTTTTGATTTCTGACTAGTTGCATGAGTTATTCATTTATGGCATTATCTATTTTGTCTTATCCCTCAATATTTAAATTAATCTTTTGTGTATTGTGTTATGATGTTTGTCCGATTGTCAGTCTGTTTCTGTATTTGTTTAGTTGTCATTTCGGTTTTGTTTTGTCAAGGCATCTCCATAATACCGAAGCTAGATACTTCCATAATTGCCCCATTGATTTATTGTGCTTTCTTATTACATGTAGGCCTATAATCTTAATAATATTATTTAATATACTTCACTTTGTTACATTGTTTTATAAAAGTTGTGGCATTATGGAAATAAATGTTGATTAAATTGAGAAAAAAATATGTATGCATACTTTGTATTGGTGAAAAAAGTGTATTTTTACCTGAGCTAAATTTTTAAAAAGCGATCTCTTCGCAGTTAATTCTCTTCTAAAACTTACCTGTAAAGCTTCCCTCGCTCCAACGTCGCAAACATGCCGTCTCCTGAATATTCAGTCCAAACCCTCATTTATCTGCGTGTTTGTTGGCCTAGATGTCCACAACCAACGGTGCAAGAATTTGCCACTACATTTTCTTCCATCCGAATTTGTCTAAAGTTGAACTGGTCAGTGGCCTTCGCTCTTGCCGTTGACCGTCCAAAACTACTGACCCATTGGGCAGATGCCCCTGGCCCTCCGTTGACACAAAATGTATTATTGTCAATTCCGATTGTATCTTATATGTTGGGCACTGTTGATTTATTTAGGTATAAACAGAGTTTATATACACACAAAGGAAATATTATTTTCTTGTTACGCCCGACTGATCAAGGACGATTCTCCGGGTCACGCCGGTTCAGTGAGGTGGTCAGTCACTGGACACGTTACCAGTATAGGAAAAGAATGAAACTACAAACAAATTCTGCAGAGAGTAACTGTACTTGTTTTTGTAAAAAAAATCCATATTTTCGATAAAAATTATACTCCCTTGCCCTGCAACTGAAGCCGCTTGCATTATCGATAAGAAAAATCGCTTTAGCAATATATTTGCATACATGTATTCCGAAAAAGTATAAAATGTCTTTAAAATGTCTTGTTTATTTGAAATTTTGGCGTCGAAAGATATTTTGAGTCATCAGAAAATGGGCACTGATAATTTTATTGCATCTGTTTTGTCAAAAACCTGTTTGAATTTGCTAAAGATGTTGAGGATGAGTAAACTTCTACCATTGTTGAATAGCGCCCTCTCGTGAAGCGACTATTTTTTTTTTCATTTTTGTATTCTCTTTTCGTACAGGCTGTCTGTCGCCCTCGTTTGGTGAAACGTGACAAAGTGGAGCTTTATACACGATGGGAATTTTAAAAAATGACAAAATAAATCAAGATACAACATTGACAATGGAGTATACCGACTGAGGAACAGAGGAAAGTGGATGACCTATCGAGGGAAACAAAGACAGGACAGCTGAATGTGCAAAATCATACGGATAAACTCATCAAATTGGTAAGTTAAACTGAACTTTAAAAATCGTATACTGTAAAGCTCGAAATGTTTGACAAACTCCTAAAAGTTTCTGTGAACTACGAAACATCCGATTTACATAGAATCGCATGGCATTTTCTTAGAATACTGATAATGTTTTTCAATATGCGAGTATGTGACACTGTTGCTTTAAACATCAAGCCTAACACTGTCTTGATGAACACTATAAATTCAAAATGCACATTTGCATAAGAATTAAGACACCAACTTGCTGGCAATCTTACATCTCGTTAAGCATTGTAATTATCTCTGGTTAGATGCCAAGAAGCTGCTTGTCAGCAATCTGACTACCCCTTGTTTTAGACTGTAGGGCCGAAGTACTCAGTATGAGTCAACATGAGTACTTTCGTGTATATATGTGTGTATTAACCAGTGACATAGACCATCCTTTCATTTGTGAGTCCAATGCGATATCATTGGCACATTTTCTTGCAGTGCGTATTAAGCCCAATTGGAAGCATTCTGATCTTTTTCTGTTCATAAATCATTTTTAAATGTTCTTATTTATAATGTTCATCAGCGGTGCCTTAGATAAAGCTTGCACCGTATCGGTAACTCTCAACGGTATTCCACCGTTGGAAATATTCCCAAACTTGAACTTCAGTGTTAATTCAGGTTCGTGCAATATAAATATCCCTGGTTTCTTCGGGAAAGAATGTTATTTTGGTGTAGGGCTGCTTCTTCTAGTCCACTATGCTTCTTCTATAAAAGCGTTTTAGACATCCTTTATCAGTGAACGACGCCGTAGGGTGAAATGCCGTGCGTCATAGACGTCTCCAACATTCAATCCACATTCGGCCAAGCTAAATATATACCGGAGTGGAAAACGAAAACACAAATAGAGCCTGGGAGAACTAATATGTTTCCTTATTGTATACTGCGCTGATTTGGCGGAATATATTGCGGGGCAATATATTTCGACGTCTGAAACGAGTGCAATAGCCATCAATCGCTGGGTGCTGCTGATGAAGAAGAAGCAAAATCCTGGCTCCCCTATTTCAACGGTTATTAAAATCACAGACCCAGAGGCTCTTATTGCACTGTTTGGTTGTTTTCTTGGATGATTGATATTTGGGTGAGAATGTCAATTCTGAATATACTGTGTATTCAAAAGTAAAGCGTTGAATCCACCCAAGCATGTTGATCAGATATGCACGCATGTAACTTCAAATCTTTCATGAGGATTTAGAAAAGTGACCATTTTGACACAGTTCCCAAATGAGAAAGAAACCAACATTTTTGTTTTGCTACATCACCTTACCAGAGCACAGATTTTATGCTATTGCTGGGTCGAAAGAGAGGCCGCATAACTTGGCAACTGTTGGCTACTTGAATGGATTCTTACGTTATAGCTAAGTAACCGACATTGTAAGGACGCAAAAGATTCATTGTCTGCAACTTAACTAAAGCCTCATTTTGGTTCCAATATGGCAATACACGGCAAAGAGCGAATATTGCAAAAAAAAAGTAAATGATGATTACATTCCATCAGCGTTTTGTGCCCTTACGTCTTTATTAGCCTATACTCCTTTTACCTAAAGAAAGGCTATTAGGCGGTTTGGTTTTGCAATTTTTCTAGGCAATAACTTACCATCAAGAACCATCGGTGTGCATGGTTGGTGAATCTACTTTCTGGCGCCAAATTAAACGAAAATGTCTGATTGAATTTCTGTGAAAAATGGCAACGCAGTTATTAAATTTTGTAATCCAACGCCTGCCTATAGTGTCTGCGTTCTTGTTCCCGCAGTTGGAGCTGCGTAATTAGTTTTACCACTGCCTGTACTTGCAACTATTATTACTGCCCATAGATGATTGTATATACTGTTTGCGAAAATATACACATTTATCAGATTAATATCCAAACCTGATAGGCTATAAGATGCACTTACTGCATCGGCTGATCCATTGTTAATGGTTTGTCGTGTTAAATTTTAAAATCAGCAGTCGTATTGCAAAAGGTACGTATTGCTGAATGATGGTTATGGGCGATGATCCTTAAAGGGAATATACAACATTTGCAAACAACAAATGTACCAAATTATTAGGAAATACCTTACTGGACTGTTAGTGAACGACAATCTTAAGCATCCTGTAAAATCATGGCACCTGGTGTGCTGTCATTTTAAAGAAAAGGGGTATTTTTGTATCAATTTCCAACGCTGGTCGGCCGACCAGCGTTGGAAAAAAAACTGGCTTTTTGTTTTTAATACTGTTCCCAATTTACCATATTTAGTTAGTCCACATTTTGTTTGCAATCGATTACACACCTATGAACGGGTACAAGCCAGCTAGACTTGTTCCATGATCTTACAATTCCCTGACCTCTATAAATTGCTCCATTTCATTTTTAAGTGGGGTCAAGGAACCAGACTACATGAAGATGTTTTTTTTCTTGGTTTCTCCAGCATCTTCGACCACAAAACTTCAAACAAGTCAGTACAACAATATTTGCTAAAAAATACTTACCCCAAATCCATCTATTTCTGAAAATTACAGCAAAAGTAAATGATATACATTCTCTTTATCGTTTAATATGTTATACATTGTATAAATTTAAACGTTTCACTCTTTCAAATTGTAAATGTTCGGATAACTGGCGTGCCATTTTGTATTGAGCAGGGCTAGGTATAGGAGAGTCAAAATGTTGTGATCATTATCGAGTGCCGAATTGTGCGCGCACGTGTCGCCCGCGTCAACGGGTTATTTGCTAGTAATTATGCTTCACAGATCTCAAATGACCGCGGCCGTCACCCACTCGTATCCTGTTCCGAGTTAACATCGCCGAATTAAAGATTGATCACGATTTATTTTCTTTCTTCCCTCACTCCCAGCGCGTTCAATGAAACGTGAAAGTGTTAAATTAGCAGGATAGGTGTCACGAGGTATCTTGTGCAGCGCGGGTAAATATGCAGACAGTCGGATCTTGGCATGCGGTAAAAATACCATCACATTTAGGTGGAGCGAATACGCGCAACCAGACCAACGGCTGGCGCAGCGTTTGTTTTGTTGTCCATGTTCAAACTAGCGACACGTGTTTTGCTGGCAAGAGGACGAGTGCAGCACGCACGAGTTGTGAATCGCTGGAACAAGCGGGACTGGAAAGTGGAATTAAAGCGGCGCTCGGAAAGCCATTTTCCCCTCGAACAAGTTGGCTCATTCAATGATTAAGATAAACTCCACACGGAGAGGTTCTCCGCGCAGGCTTCAAGGGCTTCCTGCTGTCTCTTAATGATGCGGAACTCAAAAACGCACCGACAATCGTGACAAATAGTGGAGGGTTTGAAAGTAAGACAAAGAGGCGCCATCCTTTTTGACGCAAGCAAAAAAAAACAGCAAACAGATTGAGTTGTAAAGAGAAAATTGTAAATTCCTCGCACAGAATGTTTTAGAGCAGGCAAACATTGGTTCTTAATTGTAAAAAAAGTGTCGGTGCCCAGAGAGACACGAAGGCGCGCCGTGGGCGGGCTCTCGACCCATAACCAATTTTTCATTGGTTTTTGTTTTATCTTTTAAATTATTGTTTAATTTTACTGTGTTGACTGTAAATTCAACTTCATCGCAGGATGTATGGAGCAATGAAACTTGTGTGTATGCTCATCGGTGAGCACTGTTTTCATTTTGTAAAGAATGAATGATTGATAACGTGAATGATTCAACACAGCTGTTTTATGCGCGGATACAGATTTCAATATGCGGCCGGCTATCAGAACACGCTGACGAGTGTACCAACATTCGGACAAAGTGTTTTTAATGGCCGGTGTTGACGTCACTCACATTCGTCATCTACGTTTATATTCTCCGTCGATTCGAATGTCTATATATACGGATTGAGGTTTCTGTTTGCATGCCGATGGCACATTCGTGAATAAACAACTTCCACTGCCGTCACATCCACTTCAGCCTAACCAGACGGCATCGAGTTTCTAGATGTAAGAACCACCAAGATATCCGAACCGTCAATGTGCAGATTAAGCATTCCATTCTGCCCACGAATTTTGGTTTCCCTAAGAATTTTTTACATGCCCGTATAGTCGTTATGGTAATTTGTACTTTGTAAGTTTGTGATATCAAAATTGTATAATATATTAAGAGCTCCTGTGCTAGCAAATCAAAATGTTCTTTCGCAAGTCAAACGGATTTGTGAAAAAAAAATGCAAACATAGTAGATGTAGGAGACGTCTGCTTAATCAGGTCTTTTCAGATAATGTGTACATTATGGCTTTACAATAAAGAACAGACACGTTTCTTTTCAGTCCTCGAGCGTTGTTTTGTTTGTTGAAAACGGTCCCCGATCGTACGGTTATGTGTTTAGCCTATGGGAGAGTGTTACATTACAGGGACAAAGGGAAACACAAAGCATTGTCCTCGGGCGTATAGAAATTCACGACTGTGTGTTTCCGTTCGTTTTAGCAATATAACACACGATGGAAGCTAGAACAAAAAAGACATGTTGAAACATTATCATGATTATGTGCCTTCCATGTAATAGCACATAATTTGACCTGAATGTCAATCATACTGGTTTGCAATGTGCTTACCAAGGCCTCTCAGTTCCTTTTAACATGTTGGTAATGGGCACAATGATCACGATTTCCCCCCAGAATGTCACACGGAGCAATCCGTTTCCTGCTCGGATATTATTTTTTTCTCTTCGTCAGTAGCCTGACGTATTATTTCCTGACTTAATATCAGAAATCACAACCCCAACTTTTAACCTCAGCATTCAGTTGATCCACGGGTCAGCCCGTGGATCTATCGTAAGGTTGACTGACAGTTCAATGCCTTTACGAGAGGGTGACTTGTGTTAAGTAATTGAAATCCATTCCCAATGACATTTGATATCTCTCATGTCTGTATATTGGAAGCCATTTTTTTTCTCTTCAACCCGTCGGGAATATCGCTGAAAAACTAAATATTTTTTATCGCGGGATACGGCATTGAAAAACGATATTTTGCTTAAGAGTGCCTCAAATGTAAAGGATCTGCTCCTAAATTTAATTTTAGCACCACCTATTTGTTTTTCTTTTATAACGGCTGCTTTACAATGACTCACTCGCTAAAATTTAGCATAACATGCTAAAATATCCACTACGTTACGCTGATAGATATCGCTGCTTACTTTGACAAAATTGATTCCATAGGCCCTAATGAAGTATGGCATTTCGCAACAGAGATCGTCTTCAGCTACGTTTGGATTTTGGAGAAACACAAAAATTCGAATTAAAAACGTCAGCCCTTGGCAATTTTTAAGATTTTGTATTTTGGTAAATTGTGTATTTTCTAGGTCTGGATATGGCTTCTGCTTCGCATTACTTTGAATCCATTCCGGTACATGCTGGTATTCCTACAGTACAGGATGTACACACTGGCTGCTACATGCCGACAGGAGGTGACGTCCCATTTGCACTTCCGTAGGGTACATAAAAGGAAAAATACACAACACTTAGCGCTGTCACTATATTGCCTTGTATGACAGACGTACGTACGCACTGCATTATAATTATATCAAGTGCTCATCTGCACTGCTCGATTATGTCGCAAGGTCATAAAATCTTTCCTGGTGAGAAAACAACTTGTACAAGTTCATGTCCGTGTGTGTGGTGTGTGTGTGTAGTTATAATTTCTGGTTCAAGGTTGAGTGGTTTAGCTGCCAAGGAAGGTCAAAAGGGACCACTATATCGCCGCGGGGAAATTTGAATAGGGTCACATCGGATCATTTTTGCTATCTGCCCTGAGGCAGATTTTCATTAGATGGTTTGCAAATTATACAAATTATAATGGAGTTATGTTAATGGTGATCTGATACACCATGCCCTCTGGAGACATGCACACAATAGGGAACAAAAGATTGTATACGTCTCCACAGGGCAATTTCTATAGATGAATACGTCTCCACAAGGTTATCACGAATGTGTGGACTTTACTCAAAAACTAGGAATTTCCAAGGTATGTTGATTTGTCGCAAATGGAAGAGTTTTAGAAAAGGGATATTATTATTAAGTCCGAATTTCAGCCAAGGAAATTAATTCTGGTTAAAATAAGAGCATTTTGAAACTACACTTTCAAACTCGAAAGCTTTACTACACGAGAACAAAGACATGTCTCCACAAGGATACAAATTCCAGTATGTGTGTACATTCTGAAATCCCCTGTCGACAATCTTCTTCAGAAGAGTATGGATTACAAAGATGGTATATTTTATAATGTGCATATTAATTGGCATGCACAGTGATATTTTAGCCAAATTCACTATATCGTGTGGCTAGCGTAGCCGTAACCTCTGTTGCACTTGGTAGTTTCCGCTTTATTTTTCTTTATTAAAATACGAACTGCTGTCGAAGCGGACAAAATAAAAGTTTGAGAAAACGAACGTTTAAAAAAAATAAACACAAACCCCCTTCGTTGCAGTCTCCCAAGTTGAGATAATTTCCTTGTGACACCAAACAGACACTTACAGGGAATAAAATGTGTGCTCGGTTGGCATTAAACTCTATGTTTAAGACCGGTTGGAGTCTGAATGCTGATAATTACCCGAGCCGAAGACGAGGGTATACCTTATTATTATTACCATATTGGCTCGCGCGTCGCGCCTACTGCGCGATGTGACGCAGAACACAGCTGTGTCAGTGTATTCTGAATTTCGGACCATCGAATGTACTATTGCGCATGCCTACGTGAGGATTGTGAACGTTCAACCAATAAACGGTATAAAAAGCACCTGATTTCATAGAAGTCCACATTTCATGTTACACTGGAAAAGTGTTTAAGACCAGCCGACTGGTCTTTATCAACTGTTTGAAACCGGCCACGTGACGGGCTCTCGACCAATAGGAAAGGGTCTTAGGTATTTAAGAATATTCAACATAAAACCTTTAGTTTTGTCTACAGTCTTTTAATAATAATATCTAAACCCATTGAAACATTGGCTCTTAAAACCACGCAAAAAAAAAAATCGAACGCGGCATGTCGCAATTCGTGCTTCAGTTTCAATCGCTTATTAAATTCCGTTTTAAACAAATTAAAAGCACAGAACAACCTTCGAAATCAAATTTTGGCTCACCACTGACCGTTGCGAAATCCGATAATGCTCGCAAGCCTGAATTGCTAATTTAATGGTGAAATCTCGCCAAAACAAAAATTAAATTAAATAATTCAATCGCTACTTTAATACATTACAGAACACCAACATCTATATATTCACTGATCCAACATGAAAAGACATATTCCAGACACCGCCCTCTGATTTTACCCTGACATCATTCAGCTCGCACACAATGCAGTTCGTCTTCAATTCTTTTCTTTGCAAATGCATTCCGCATGTATTTATCCGGCAATTTTGTGCCCGAAACGGCATGCCATTTATCCAAACAAGACGAAGTGATTTCAGCTCACGCCAATACCAGTAATGGACCTGCATAATGGAATCTTTTCCCACTCTACCTCGGTGCACATCAATGAGAATGCTTGCATGTACTTGAATATATATCTTGAATTGAAAGTCGCGGGGTATTATTGAGCACTAGTTTATCGAGGAGGAATTTTGATATTTTCTTTTCAACAAATTGACATTATTCGAATGTGATACTTTGAAGTGCTGTAAGCGTTCAAAATGTTTCAGAATTATCGGTAGATCTTGCAAAATTTAGAATAATGGTAAGTTGCAAAATTAATAATCCGATAAAGAAATAATTCAGCCACATTAAGCTAAACAGGAAATAATCGTCTTTTGTTTCGAAGACGGTCGGGGTATTTTTCTGCTACATTCGTTTAATACCCAGTTATATTGGAGTAGGCTACACACACAAAAATCAGTGAAATTACCCAGTGATGTTCAACATTTTCAGTCACTGCGTATGATTATGTTTTAATATCAAACTTCGAAACCAAAACCACCATGATCCAGTGTTAAATACTGCACCAATGCCATTTGAGTAAGAGCATCGTAGTATTATTGCTGCTGTATAGGAATTATGAACAATAAAATATTATTGACATCCAGTCACTCATTCAATTAACTTGCCGATACGAGCATGCCGTGACTGCCCAGTCCTCATCTCCATACATGCTCCCGTTGCTACGGGTGAGACGTCCAACGGATTTCCGTCACTGGGTCAGCCCGGCGATTACGATCACATGATACGCAGTATATACGATACCTCCATATTGCCAGCACATCAACTCCAATTAGCTTTATTATGTCCGACACATTAATAAAAACCTGTCTGAAACTGCAAGGCACTCCATATAGAAACACCGAAACTGTGTCTGAATTACTATGGTGAACAGCGAAGAGCCTCTCTCGCTGTACAGAAACCAGGGACACACACTGAAACCGAAAACATTAATTGTCAACAACATTAATTGTTAGCAATTAGCGACTATGTACCACTGGTGATCTATATGTTCCGACAACCCGCACCGCACATAAGATTGTGATAGGGATATGGTTAGGGAGTCGGAACATAGGGTGTCGAAACATAGGTGTGTAACCGTACCACTCACAATAATATTGCGACATCTCTCAAGTAAGTTCATTTCTATCTTACATTCAAATTTTTGTGACTGGCTACGGGAAATTAAATACATAAAACCTCAGTCACCGAATCTATAGAATGTCGATATTTATACAAAGGTACCCTAATATGTGAATGAATAAAAAAATAAAAAAAACCAAAGATTTTCTAAAATTGCACTGCTGATAAACGTTTCAGCTGTTTGGCGTTCAAACCGTTTTCAAACCACTTTTGCAGTTCAATCAGCAGTTGCTCACATACTGCCAAAGTATACCGGTACATTTCACGGAAAAAATAGGGTTTGCATTTTTTTTATTACGCGAACCGTGCAGCTGCCTCGCGATTTTTAATATTCACCGACCCTCACTCGCAGCGTTCGTTGATTATGATGATTTCTATCCCCGTACGCGTTGAGTCGGCCAACCAGCATCTCTGTTTAATTTCCCATGCGAAATAATTTTGCCCAGGCTAGGGAGTTTCGTGCGCATAGATAGTGGTGACCGTGACAGGATCTAGGAGCCGACAACCACCTTCACATTAATATCAACCCTGCATGCTGTGTGCGTCCGTTCAGATATTGACTAGTAGTAGACGGAGCTGGGTGATGGTCCATTGGGCGTAGATGTCTATCGTGAACAGGATCGAGCCTACTGCATCGTGCGAGTGCCGTGTTTCCAACATGTCATCCGATGCCGAATTCCCCGCCGTGGTGGAACTCAACGTTGGCGGGCAGCTGTACACCACAGCCCTGTCCACCCTGACCCAGCAAGGGGACTCCCTGCTGACCCAAATGTTCACCGGTCGAGCAAGGGGGCCACTGCAGAGAGATTCACGGGGCCGGTACTTCATAGACCGCGACGGCTCGCTCTTCAAGTACATACTGGATTACCTGCGCAATCAAAAACTGGTGCTACCGGAGAGCTTCTGCGAGCGAGGTAGACTGCGGCAAGAGGCAGAATACTACCGGCTTCCACGCCTGGCCAGTGCACTGTCAGAGACCGCCCAAGCCGACAGTACAGCCGACAATGTCGGTAACTCCGTCAGCGGAGACAGGTCGGATTCTCCCGGATTCCTGACCATCGGCTACCGGGGGACCTTCGCCTTCGGGCGCGACGGACTCGCCGACGTCAAGTTCCGCAAGATCCAGAGAATTCTGGTCTGCGGCCGCGTGGCCCTGGCCAGGGAGGTGTTTGGGGACTCTCTGAACGAGACCCGCGATCCGGACCGCGGCATGAGCTCTCGGTACAGTGCCAGATTCTATCTGAAACACGTCTACCTGGAACAAGCTTTCGATCTGCTTGCCACCCGCAACTTCAAGTTCGTCAGTTGCTGCGCGTCCGGTACGAGCTCCGGTCCACCGGAGAGTGACGAAAGTAAGTGGAACCATTATAACGAGTTCGTGTTCCAACGCCTATAGACATGTACAAATCGCATCACACTTGCAACATTCCATATTATGCACGAAACTGAGTGTTATCCTATTATGAACACCTAAAAGAGCACCGGGATATTCCCCTTGCACAAACAGTAAACTTACTTATCCTTCGAGCTGCAGTAGATTCTTATGTCGGCAACCATAAGCGATATAACTTAATCCGTGAAAACACTGGCAAGATTGCCACCGAATGTAGAACCTCATTCGATGTTGACATCATGTAGGGACCGCCTCTTCTAATTGCCTGCGGGGACAACCGGATGAATTTCCATCAGCTTTTCTCCCCATTCCCAAGCGACGATGTTATCTGACAACCGTGAATAGAAACGGTTGCGTGGTCTTTCTCCTGGCAGAACTCGGCGGATTCTTTCTGGCCTGCACGCCAACCCTTCATCTCACGGTGCAGCTTGATCACGCGGGACTGCACTGGAGCCCGAGCGACACAAACGCTCATCCGTCTCGACGATTTTTAATCAAGCCGTGGAGCGTCGAAATCGAGGAGCCTCCGCTTGATGTGTTTTAATAATAGCTCCCCCCGTGCCGATGATGATATTTGAAGCCGCCATAGTATAGCTGCTGTGAACTCGCTCAATCTACTCGCTTGGTTCCGGCAATCATCGTTTGGATGACGTGATAGAATATAACAGTCAGCACTCCCCTTGTCAATAAATTATTGCCGTCTTTTTTTCTCCATCCAAGTTGTAAATCGTGAAAACATCATCTAGCCAGAGCGTCGTAGTGTCATGTCATGTGAGCACTTTCATTTTTACAAACCGTATATCCTGGTCTAGCTCCCAGAAGTCTTCATGCAGCATCATGTGTGTTTTATAGTATCCAGACAGCGAGTACCAGCCTAGATGTGTTTGGCTTGTTTGCATGCCCCTTAGGGTTTTACCAAAACGAAACACACGAGAAAGCACCAAGCCCGACCAACAGTACATTTTCTGCACCTACCTATTACCCATCCACGGAGTCAAGGCGATAGCATCTGATGCATCACTGCGTTGTTAGTGAAGTACATGTAAACGCAAGTAATGTAACTCACGGACACACCATGAAAGCATTAGGTAACATGAATGTTCCAGAAAGTACATTATTTATATCACTCTGATACCCAGGAGAGTAGTAGTGAATTATGCATCATAATATATTACAGCCTAATGGCCATGATAATGGTGTTTCCTTGATAAGTATACCTAAATCGCAGGGGCTTGTATAACTTTACAATAGAAGATAAGACGAAGCAAATTGGTAAAACTTTTTCATAACGATCCGCTTTTAGGCTATGTGATATCACATCGTCTTTGGTTGGTACATTTCGAAGTCAGTGGGAAAACGGAAAACGCTAGATTGTCTTAGTGTATTGTTGATCAGCCAACTGGATTTAAATGATTATATAGGATGGCCCCCAAAAAAACACAGAACGGCGTACAGTTCCGGTACCCTGAGGCTAAAAAAACCCATACCAATGCATGGGGAATTCTGTTAAAAGAAAATTGATACCAAAATCGCCTGACTCAGTCCAGCAGTTTTTGTTCTAGAGCCAATTTGGTGAAACAAAGTCGGTAGTCATTTTGTCCCGCTGAATTACCATTGGAAACAGGTATTAATTGTTATGTGATAATACCCACATGATCAGTTGTATAGTATGAGCTCTGCAGCAAAAACTACTGGACGTACCGAATTGGGAGATCTTGGTATCATATTTCCTCTAAAAGCGTCTCCATCCATTGGTACAGGTGGTTTGAGTCTCAATGTAGTGGAAGTATGCCGTTCCGGTTTCTTTGGGGGCCAGCCTGTATTAAAAAATAACTTAATAACCGTAATTTTATATGTCCTTGTGCCTATGATGCCACGAATATTAAAGTGGGTTTGGTGTAGTGTTAAAAATTATGAGAACGATCCCTCCTTTCCTATGACATTTGAAATGTCATTTAAGTTATGCATTTCTCGCATACGTCCGATAGGTATTTGCCCAAATTGCCCTTGAAGCTAAAATCCCTCCCCACCCCTCCAAAAAAATAATAATAATAAAGTAAATAAAATAAAATAAAATATGTCGGGTTTGTTCCCTGGCTTTGGGTTTTTTTGTTAAGAAGGGGGGGGGGGGGGGTGGGGGGTTGGGGTTGAGAAGGTGTGGTTGAATGGTATCGGGAGCAGCTGTTTAATTTTTACTATTTTTACTGCATATTTTTGTCAATGATCAAGTATCGTTGCTGACTTACCCTTAATATCAATCAAATATCATTGACACATTGTTAAATGTTTGAACATGAAAGCATGTCGTCGTCATCACATGTCACGTACGTCACATGTGTTATCGATGGAATTTGAACTGACGTCGTCATATCGTTGTCACATGTCAAAGAAACAGTCGAAACGTTTTGTGTTTGTCCTCAAACACATTTCTAGTTTTATTATTTTTACTGCATTTTTCCCCCATTGATCATGTATTGCGGAGTTAACCTTAATATCACTCATTCAGCATTGACGAATTTTTAAATCTTCGAACAAGGGGTGTGAAATCTCAGCTTTAAACTGATTTTCAGGCTATGTTTGTTTTGGATTTCAGCTTTTTTTCCTAACTTACAAAAGTATTGGAGATTTCCAAAGTTCAGCTTTTTACACCTTTTCCCAGCTGTTTTCAGTTGTTTTTATTAGTGGTCACTCACACCCCTGTTGAACATGAAAACACCTCACTTTGGATAACTTCAATTTCTTGACTAGTTGATTTAACATTTTTGATAAATTAAAGTATAGGGTAACATTTCGACCATTAAAGTAAATTGAACATTTCGAATGATGTACATATAATTGGACGTCAAGAACGACCAGGGGAAGTCACAAACAAAATTATTTTCTATGAACAAATGATCGTCTTTTTAACACTCGCTTTATATATTGAATGTTTTCGCAAAAAAAACATTGCTTTTCTTTGAGAAACACTAATGCAGTAGCTTGTCAAATTCCCATTTGGCCACTTCGCAGCCGAAAGCATTTTCAAGGTCGAGAATTCTTTCTGCTGTATAGAAGCGTGTCCATGATTACTGACAGCCATTAAGGCTGTTGCTGCATGACAGTCATTAAGTCCGACCGATTATTAAAAAGAAACAAAAAAAACCCGCTCATTTATAATGTTTATTTAGTACATTCAACATCCCGGAGCCGTATTTTAGTCGGTGAATGTATACGTTGTATTATAACTGAATACATGGGATTAATTCAAACGATTTTCTGTTCTTCACACCTTTAGATCAATGTTAACTATTCAAAGAAGTGTTCGTAACTCAAATTACCATTGGAAACAGTGGAGAATGGCAATACAGGTGTTAAATACAGCCTGGTTTGCATTCACTGAAAGAGTTCTAGATCCTCTTTAATTGGATCCGACCATGCAGGGAACATATTGATTTTTAATCCCAGATGTTAAAAAATTGCATTAGCCTAAACAAATTAGTTCTCCTTTGCTGAGTGGCCTAATCTGAATTTTGACATGTTTCACACAGCAGGTTGCTTCTTGTGATGTAAAGCAGGCCGATAGAATGGAATGAATATTGTTGTGTCATTACCCTTGGTGTACAAAAAGCTGTATTTTTTTCTGGGAACGAAATTAGTGTAATTCATCCCGGAACTAAAAAAATATATTGTGCAAACAAACAACAAACAGTGTTAATATTAACAAACTGCGGAATCGCGGAAGTGTACTTGAAAAAAAAATGAGAAGAAGAAATATGTAACTTGTAATATGTGTGTACAACACTCTGTGAAAAGAAATATATCTGCATAGTTTATTGTAAGAGTTCGAAACTGAATCGTGGCGATGCTTTTAGAGTGTGAGTGTGTTCGAATAAATTTGGCCAGGGTTGGATGTGAACTAAATTGATAGCTTTTTATTTTATAATTTATTCTGGTGATGTAGTACAAACTCATTATTCCATCTTGAACTTAAATGGTCCATGAAGTGATTTTTTTCTGAGGAACATTTTGTGCAACTTTATACTTCTCTTAAATGTGTATGAAAAACATTTAACCATATTTGGCTAATAGTTTTCAAAAAATGCAAATCTTTAAACATTTAAGAAAAGAAAATCATGCTTTTCCTGACAAGTATCGCTGTTGCTGTGATGTCATTTCAGGAAGACAGTGTTCAGTGTAAGGGTTTTCTGTTCAAATTGTGAACCCAAAAATGTGCCTATTGGAAATATCTGTGAGAAAAGTTTGCTCATGGTTTGCACGTACAGACACCACAGCGAATCACCAAAGAAAATAAAATTTACTACAGCGATATATCCCAAACTCTGGCAACTTTTGGTACTGAAACAGTTTCTACCTGAAATGACATAAAATATTGAAAACCAAAAAGGCACCAAAATACCCTTGAAAATGGCGAAACGAAATTGAAAATAAGGTTAAATGGGAAACGAAGATGCATTTTCAAAGATCGCATTAAAAACGATAACATTGCATGGGCCCTTTAATAAAGTACGACGGTATAAGCAAAGCTGTGCCATATGTAAACTGGACAGACGGAATCACTTACGCTTGGGTATCTTGTGTACTCTATTGCCTTAGCCGGCCCGAATAGTACACGGAGGCCAATTTTACAAGAAATTGGCATTTGCACGAGGAAGTCCATTATCAAGAGACATTTGGTCAACACATTATCATTTTAATAAATAGGTTCAATATTCAAATGGTATTTAACACTTAAAAAAACCCACCCAAAACAGGTGTCTGCAATAAGCCCGAGGTAAAGTGCAGATGTATTAGTCAGATAACAACAGTTTTGTCCGGGACGGATGTGGTATTTTGCCCTGGGATAAAGTCAGTTATGACATCACGGATAGATTTGTGAGATAATTTAACTAGTGAAGTAATATATGAATTGAGTTAAGCGTTTCACGACAAGACCGAGATATGTCCTTACCTGTATGCTTAATTAAAAGAATGGGGCAGATGATATCGGCGCACGTATTTATATAGCCCAAGGAAAATCAGCATCGACCTTTTTCAGTGCCTCAGTTTGGTTCTTGATAAGCATGACTATCCCGGTTTCCAGAGGATTTTCCCAGCTCGTGTCTCCACGTTTATGTGAATGAGAGCCAGGGGCCCCACTGTAGGAACTGGTTTTTAATAAAATTCAGTGCCCTAAGATGTAGGCAACACACACACACACACATATATATCGGCATGCGTGCGCGCACACCTGCGCTGTGCCCGACCCTGTAACAACACAGAAACCTCCCCAGTCGTGTCTGCAACGCTCCAACCTGCGCCTTGCAAAATGGCCGCTGGGGAGATCTGCGAACTCGTGTGTGCGCCAACGACCTGCATTAGTACAGGAGCAGACCTAGCTTCTTTTTTTTAAAACTCGCTTTAACTTTCGTCACCGAAGATCCATGATACGCACATTGACAGAAGCCTGTGCCCAAGAATGATATTAACTGATAAGCTTTGCTGCCTGGCACACGTTTCCGCCATAGGCTTGTTATTTAATATTTCACTTAAGTTCCTGCTTCATAACCTTTTGTCAGTACAGCTATCAGCTTGTTAAAAAGATCGAGGAGTAAATTGGAGTGTTTCGATAACAAATATATGTAGGTTACACAGGTAATGCATTTGTGTCAAGGATTTCCTGTTGTGCTACGTTTCCTTATAATAGGCCCGATCCTCGTTCAGTATTACCAAATATGTTCATAGTCTAACTGTACCTTTAGGTCTTTATTATACTCTCGCCTGTTTCTGTACATGTATAAAGCAGCTTTTGTTCTGACGTCACTATCTGATCATCAATAACAATTATTGAACAAAACGACCGAAGGTGTCTTCAACATATATATTTTTGCATGTGAAACTGATACGGGCCATTTATTTGTCCCTCGTAGTATTGAATGATCGAGCCAGGAAGAACTGGAGATGAAAGAGACAATATATCACAGCATGTGTCATAACAGTGACAGCTGTCGGCAACGCGTCCCTGAATTGGCAACCAGGATGTTCAAACGGAAAACGGGTTTTCCCCTTCGGATGAGATATCCTCTGTATACAAGTCGTTGAATTGCTTTTCTTTGTGTACATGACAATGCACATAAACTATAATTTCAAGCACTATTGAATTTGAATCCGATGCAGCCGGTTTGATTGTTGGGTGTTTACATGTAGTTGTTTCACTTTCATATCAAAAAGGCTGCAACGCTGGGACTCAGTCGCGGTGTTATACTAAAACTACATCAATTCATTAACCGTAAGTTTTCCGTAAAGTGTGATGATCGTTCCATCTTGTGTTTACACTGATATATAAATACTATCAAAGACATACATTTTAGCTGTTTGTGATTGCCACTTTCATACCAGTCATATACAGGGTGGTGTAAGAAGAAGGAAACCCACATTTGACAGCAATTTTCACCTACTTGTTGAGCATATTTCAAAACTTCAATTGAATGGTATTGATCTTTAAGCATAAGTGACGGGAAAAAATGATTGCAAATGCACATTTTGTCTCTAAGATATGGTAGTTTAAAAATGTCATGCGCCAAACCTGTTTGTCCACGGACGGCTTTATTCCATTCGCTTGACTGAGCTCCGGAGCTTGATTTGAAGATGAAAAAAAACAATACACTTTTAGACTTATACACGTGGACAATAGTGATTTTGGTGACTTGTATTCAAATTAGCATAATAACACTATTCTTGCGATTTATTTAAAGACTATTACCGTGTATGGTTGAAGAGCTATCCTTCACTACATTATAAAAAAACCCAGTTCAAATAAGTTTAGTCTATAAATAGGTTAAAATTCCTGTCAAAAGTGGGTTTCCTTCTTTTCTGCAACACCCTGTATAACAAATTGTGTATCCATGCCTCTTCGGAATACGCGTGGTGAATCGTGCACCGTCCGTTACTCACTATACCAACACGTCAAGATAAGAAACTGGTGTGGAGACCAATTTAATGTCTTCCTATTTAACATACGTCGATAGTGCTGAGCATTATGCCCTGATGGGGCGGGCGGCTCAGGCAATGCATCAAATTAGCGCGTGGTCATGTGTACGCGTACTGCCAAATGAAATCATG